GGTGGGGGAACATGTAGAGGAGGTTATAATGTTGAGCATAACCCACCCACCCCCAATCCTCTAGTATTTGTGGTAGGAGTTTGGGGTTGTAGAATCAGTGAAAAGGAAATTCAAAAGATGAACTTACACCAATACTATGTTAAGTTCCTCCAGGAAGAGGGAGGAGAAGGGGGAACTACCTGGTTGACTTCCCAATATAAAAGTGATTTCTTGTCCATGTTTGGACAGATTAGAATTGGACGGGTTAAGCTTGTCATGGAGGAGTAGCTGACCCTTCCCACTATCATTTCACCTACATACTGAACGAGAAAAATAATCCAGCGCCCCACTACCTTACCTAAACCAAACCCAGCCTAAGGGGGACCAAGTTGCAAATCCCTCTCCATGCCCGCACCTCCCCTCCCACCTTACCTATACATATAGTAGGAAAATTGACAGAAAAAGGTGGTAGATATCCATCTAACACTAGGCAATTTTTCGTTGGCACAGACACCAATGTTATAAATATAAGCGAAAAATTCCAATCTGCATGTAAAGTTAATAAATACTAGCAATTTGGCTATTGCTACTAAAAAGATCGACTTGAAGAAATAGAAAAACGTGAGTCACCAAACTACATATCCCATGATGACTCTTCTTCTATATCAACATCACTGCCCGTGTCTCCAGAGCCCTGACTCCTCACAAATGACTTCACATGTCTTTCATAAATCCATCCACATCAAAGTCCACTTCCTATACGCTCCTATAGGAAGTAGAGAATAGGCCAAAATGAGTTACTGGAGGATGGGACGCACGTGCTTCTTTGTTCACCAGTTTGACTAAGTACACCTTTATTTTCAAAGAGATGTTGCTAACATAGAATATAGATACAGTAGGGTTAACCAAACTAGCCCTCCTTATATCTATTACAAGGAACTTAATTATTATGACCAGATTTAGACAATATTAATATAAACAGTCTCTTGCTTCATAACTATCTGATCTAATTCTACCCTTGCACCCTAGAATACGTACAAAGACAATCACTATAATCAACAAGTCAGTTAATCCAAATAGCATAAACCCAATAATTATAAGATGTTACAATGTAACCTCTTGTCAGTAAAAGCAAAATAAAAGAGATCAAGCATATGATACTCCACGTGTTGAAATGAAAAGAATGAAGGACAAAAACCTGTCTTCTGGAACCTCTGCACCTTCATAGCTGGCCACTTTCGTAACAAATGCTTGCATAGACTTTGATATATCTTTAAGATCAAAATTATCAGAACCATTGTTGGGCCCATCCTGCTCTTTCGATTTCTGTTTCCTTTTGAATTGTAAAGTTCCATCTCCTTTTGCCTCTCTTGAAGAGCGGCATTTAGCTCATCCTACCCATCATAAAGCCATGAATCATCATCAGACGGTGGCAGCTCCTGATCCTTAAAGTCAGCAGACTCAGGATGGCCAAGGATCTCATCTATTCTTCGAACTAGTGCACTTAGTATATCACTGCTTTTTTAAATAGTTAGTTAATAGCACGTTAAGGAATACTTATATGACACACAAGGGCATCTCAGACAAGATTAATATAAACAGTAATATCAGCATATCGAGCAATAAGAGGGGAAATTGGTGAAAATGCAAGCAAAGAGAAAAATGTGACCATTACAGTAAACAATACGACCACATCACTTACATTACATTTTCAAGCTTTCCTTTTAGTAAGGTAAGAAGTAATTATTCAAAGACTAACAACTGGACAAAATGTGTTTCTCTGGAAGATTCAGATCATGGTTCGCATCCAGCTCCAACTTTCTTTAAATAAATAGGGTAAAAGGTTTACAAAATCCGGTATCAGTACTGTATACACAAATTCTGCTATGCAGAAGCTTCAAATTTTCCTTGTTCACATCTAGGACAGATAGGAAAGTATACAACATTTTGAACTTGCAATGGAAGTCCATAGCATATGGTAGGTCACAAGATGTTGTATCATAAATCAACTAAAGCTACACAGACACACTGAAGAGACATTTTAGCCTAGGATACGTGAAGCTGCCAGTGATACCACATAGATCCTGACAATGCAATGTCCATAATTTTTTACCCGATGTGCAGAAATTTTGTACTATGAACACGATGGCATAATTTATTTTTACTCAAATCTGCAGATATCATTAGTGGTGCTCTTACGATGTCACCCACATTTTTGTTTGTTACTTCATTACATGAAGCCATTGCATACACCCTCCCCCCTTTGGCAGGGAACCTCACAACACACACACACACACACCCCAAATGACAAATATTGCTCAAACTCAACCTACCCAAGTAACCAATTGTATCAATTTTATGAAACAAATTCTAACAATGAACTATTATTTCATCGAACGTAAATGTGCATCTACTATAATTTCATCTTTAAAAAATCAAGCTTTATACAAACTAACAAACAGCAAGTACCTTTCTCTAGCATGCAGTGAACTATTCTTGTAATACTCCTCAGCATTCTGCATCAATCTTTTATGTTCCTTTGATCCTTGCAACAACCCTTCAAAATATCCACTCCGTTCAAGACTCTGCTTAAACGCCTCCCAAGTACTCCCTCCTTCTCCCTCAATCCCCTGCTTCTTCCTCAACTGATACATCATCTCAAACCCACAAGTAATTTTCATCCCTAGCTCAGCATCCTCATAACCCTCCACATCACTCCTAGGTGGCAAACCCGAATAGCATTTCGGCTCCTGAAACATCTGCTGCACCAACTGTGAATTCATTGCCCTAGACATCCTAACCACCACCCTAACCAACTCCTCCCCACTACCCCCACCCCCTAAAAACCTCTCCATCTTTGCCGTGAACTTCATCGTGTCGATATCACTATTGTAAAACGCCTCAACAGCTAAAAGAGCATGAGGAGGGCAATGTAATGTTGCTTCACACATTTTTTAGGTCATTAGTCAACAGTTCCCTGGACAGCGAAATAGGGGTGACTTCCGCCACATTTGCAGTGCTGAGCTATTACGTTATTGCTCATTGGGTTCTTAGAATATTGTATTATGTGTAAATGTGCTCATTCTAATTAATTAAACTCAGAGTTCTGGTGTTAGTCATGTAGCAGATTCTTCATGATTTTTTGGTAATGAAACTGGAACATGAGCAAGTATTATTAATAGTCTCTCTCTATGTTTGGCCCGTGCATAGCATGGGCAAACCTTTCTAGTTCCTTACAAAGCAGGAAATATCACCCTGTCCTTTTTTGAGGTGTCTCTTTAAATTTTGTCTGCTTTTAAAAGAACTTTTTCAGCCATAAGTGGAAGACTAGAGCCAGCCTCTTCTTGCTCCTCTTCGGTTCTACTTCTTCCTCTTTTTCTGCTTCTTTTTTATCTGAAGTTTGGTACAAGCAGTTTCAAACTCTAAACCATTGAACTGAAGTTCAGTTGCAGACTTGCAGTAGTTTGGAACTTCAAACCACTGTTTATAAGTTCAAAACTAATCTGATTAAACCTTTAAAATACTGTTTCATAAGTTCAGAGGATTGTAGTTGTATGTATGACACAACTCTAAATCCTGATCAATTTCAAGCGAAATAAAATCCAGAAAACACCATTAATCATTTTAACTCTACCTCTTGCCCTAGTTTCCAGCTGCTTCTGTTTTCCCTTTTCTCTCTAAACTAACATCAGAAAGGAAACTTCAACTTGCAGAAGACCCTGTAAGCATAAAGAATCTAGCAAATGTTGATTCCAGCAGCAAAACCTTGTGGAGACATGAACCTTGAGATACAGAAATACTGACAAGGAATAGCATTGCCAAATCCTCATAGAAAGGACCTTGCGCTTTCTACATAGCCAAACTGTCTTCAGGCCTTGAATTGAACCCATCATCAAAAAGTTAAAAGTTCCTCTCAAAAAAGGAAAGTTAAAAGTTTACTTTCTTCTTCCCAATACAAGACTCAATATGCTTGTCAACTGATCCTTCTACAAATATCACAATACTGCTGTAGTTTACAATAGCGAGTGAGCAATTTTCTTTGTTTTATCCTTTTTTTCTTCTTTGTGTGTGTGTCTGTGTGTGTGTGGGGNGTCAGATCAAAGCAAAGTATACAAGGACCGCAGTTAACTAGATAAAAGAAGGTTTACTATCATCTGTAGAGAAACATCGAATAACTTCATGGCACTTATACCAAATAGGAGGTTAATGATTCAGCAGAACTCCGGCATGATACTTCTTCAGGAATCAAGAGCATCTCCATGTTCGCGTAAAAGTATCACCCTTCAAATATTAACATTTGTCGACCTCAGCGGCTCAACCCATAGTCTCACAAAATAATCCACATCAATTAATACCATAACGTAATAGCCAATGCAACTTCTCATAAAATTGAAAACCGAATAAGAAGTCACTTTGAACATCAGCAACTCTTTATCCTTTTCCCCCGATAGAGAGTGGTTGAGCATGTTGAGTAATCCATTATCCCTCAAAATGCACCATAAAGACAATACAACCCCCATAACTTATTGATTGAAATATAATGATCCCACAAGCAAGAAATTTGAGAAGAATTAACACGATCCAATAAAATAAGAAGAATGAGTCTTCATGATTGATTAGCAATGCATCTCCCAGAAGAGTCTGGTTGAAGGCACATAAGTAAAAGTGTCATTCAATTGCCATTAAGCAAACAATCTGAAGAAAGACAATCAGAAGGATATTGCCTTCTATGCGACTTTTACCTCACCCACCGCCCCTAATAAACTTCTGAAGAATATTTAAGAAATTCAGGGAACTGACATTCCAAACTTGCAACAAAGAACCCAAAGGAATTGAATACAGTGCATATTTTCTGAAACATCTAAGTTGTTGGGTGTAAATGTTATTCATCAAGGTTTTATTATAATCTTAAATGCAATGATACTTCAAACTATTTTACAACTTCAACAGAAGACATGATAAGAAACTAAAAAACAAGATCTGGTATCACTTCATCTCTTAAAATAAGGTACATTAAAGTAAAAGAAGAAAAAGTTTGACTTCCCTTTTTCAGGGTGCTCTAGGGTCCATTCCATGTTGCCAAACGTAAACAAGTTCATCCCATCCTGTACTAGCCAATAGCCCTTCAACGAGAACGCTCATATCAACTCCGACAGCAAACTCTGTGTGATGATCATACCTCCCAATAAGTGCATCTTCCACCATGTAATCCCACATGCAAACAGTCATGTCATATGAACATGAAACCATCGCACTTGCTCTATGTGGTGAAAACCTCACTTTCCTCACTGCATATCCATGCCCATTAAGCACGGAAATTGGCACTCTATAATTCCTAACATCCCAAACCTTGATTGACTTATCAACTGATGCGGTTGCAATGATACAATCATCATACTTATTCCAGTCACATGAGAGAATTTCAAACTCGTGTGCAGGCAGAATCATGGTAGACCCTACACAAACCATGAGTTAATTGAGTTAATAAGTTCTAACAATTTAAATGTAATACTCACACATGCTGAACAACTTACCGAGGAGATGACCCTTGATAGGAGGGTGTGGAGGTCAAGAATTAGGGTAAAAGGTTAGTAGGACGTTGAACACATTCTCTTTTCATACCTATATTATCATCAATACTCTAGTAGTTTCTTATACATAGATCTCTAGTACTAGTTGTTACTGCTTATTTTTTATATGGTTTCTCCATTGATGTATTTCTTTTCGATTATATTGTGACTATTTCTGAGTCGAGGGTCTCTTGGAAACAACTTCTCTACCTTGACAAGGTGGAAGTAACGTCTGCGTACACACTAGCCTCTCCAGACCCCACCTGTGGGATTACACTTGGATTGTTGTTGTTGTTGTACACGTATATGCAGAAACACAATTCGATGTTCTGACTGAATTTTTTTTTTCTTGAATGATTTATTGGAAATTAGAGGATTAGAAGTTAGATTAGGAGTTCGTTGTAATTGGGACCCAAATGTAATTACTAGGAGTTAGGGGGGTCTTTTATTATTTAGCTTTCACAATTAGTTGTATATAACTAATTCAGTTGGTACAGTAAATTCAGTTGGAAAATTTCCCAAATTCCCTCTTCTTCTTCCTCACGTGTGCAGAGCTCTCTAATGGCGATTTCTAACATGATTAAAGCGCATAGTCCCGTTAACTTTTTTTTCGCAAACTTCAATGCTCAAAGAAGCTACCAAGGAATCAAAAACTGTCCCATTGTCTATGCTCTAAAGCAAATAAAAACAAGCCATAAACTTGCTTCAACTCATCCACATTCTAAACATTTCAATACTTAGACCCTTTAGTTCCATGTGCAGCTATGGTTGAAAAACAAACCAACCACAAATATGGTGCCTAGTTTATGTGCCTTTAAACAAATAACAAATCAAGCATTTGAATTATCAACCAAATCAAATCAGCTCAAATTAACAGTTTTTTTTCTTAAGTACTCATTCAAAGCAAAGATCAACCAAATACATCCTTAAAAAGCTGTATGAACCAAACTATCGATCAAGGAAAAATATTTGGGAACAGCAAACCTGGTTCACGGACATCCCAGATACGAGTAGTACAATCCCCAGAAGCAGATGCAAAAATATCAGCATGCCTTGGATTCCAAGCTGTGGAATACACACAATAAGCATGCTCCTTAAAAGTCCGTACACTAGCATTCCTGTCCACTGTCCACAGCTTCACAGTATCGTCCCAAGAAGCTGACAAGAAGGAATCTTTTCTCACTGTATTATAATCTACACCGTGTACTTCACGTGTATGTTCCTTGAAGGCACGAATCGGGTTGTTGGTGGGAGGCAAAGAAAGGTCGTAGAGCTTCACAGAACCATCGCCGCTTGCGGCGATTACGAGGGAATCGTGAGCTTCAGACCAGCAAACGTCGTAAACGCCGTCAGCGGTGTCGTAAGCGGCGATTTCCGATATGGGTCCGTTTGGAGTGAGCTGAAGAATGTGAACTCTGCCGTTACCAAGGATGCCGAAATTCTGTGCGGTGGCAACGGCGATTTTGTTTTCGTAAAAGGGGCTGAATTTGACGGAGTAACCGTTAAAGGGGGTTCTGAATACCGGCATCTTAGTCGGTGGTTGGTGGTGCTGGTGGTTGGGGGATTAACCCTTTGGTTTCTCGATGTAACTTTATCCGCTCGGGAATAGGAAATTATGTACAGACGGACGGACGGTACTTTAGACCGTGAAATTGCCTTGGACTATGAGGTCAATCCAACCCAGTTCCTTAATTAGGTAGGCTAGGTTAAACATTGTTCACCTCATCCAAACCTTAAAGCTATTTCCTTCCTTTCTGTAAACTATTGACCCGCAGAGCTATAAAGTCAAACATCTCTATAACAATTTTATTATTGAATATGTTTGAATATTATAGCAAAATACTATTATACAGAACATATATTATAACATAACATAAAATTAATTTCAGAAAAGCTTGACTTTTATAGTAAAATATTATTATATAGAGATATTATTATAGAGAAATCTGACTATATTATTTTTTGTCTCAAATATATTCGTGAACAATTAAAAATATTTAAAAATTCATTAATGGTCTGACTTGTAGTCGAAATTCTTCCAATCTCGTAACTATTGCTACATTTTATCATGCAGTCTGTACGACTTTGTCCTTGTATGTGCGCATATGCGAGTCTGCTCTCCTTTTTTCCTCCAGCTTTTAGCCAGTCTCTATGCCTCACTTTGTGAACATATACAAAACTATGACAAGCTGTCCCTATGGGCATCTATAGGTGTACTGAAGTTCTTCGCTCGGTATTTTGTCGAACTTACGACCATTGCTATATCTTGTTTCATAGTTGCGATTATCTATGCTTATGGCTTTACTACATCTAGGTAGGTCATACTATACCATAACTCTTACTTCCATTTATTATTATCGGGGTCTGCTACCCAACTCCAGGTTACTCTCTTACTGCTTATCCTATATGTATAAATCTAAGTCATTTAGTGCTTCCTTGTTATTGTTCATCTAAAGAATGACATCCTTATCTCCTCTCATACATTGGAACTTTTATCCATCTATTGTTGATTCACCGTATTGTTGATCTATAATCTACCAGTGATAACTTGAAACCTCTTACATAATACGTTTTTACTAGGGCTCACGTTGCATCAGGGAACATCTGAAATGATTTGCCCGATCCACCTTAGGGACGATACTATACTTCAATAACCGTAGCATCTGAACGTGATTCATCTTATAGGAGGTATTCTAATCACATGCAATTCATGAAATCCTTTCTCGTTAAATCATTACTTCAATCGAAAACTATATTCCTAAACATCATCCTTTTATAGCTTGTCACACTCACACCCCTATTCTACTACCAGGGCAGCATTCCATCTCTTCTAAATGCTCCTAGTCTTAAAATCCTCTGAGTTTACTCAAGTTATATTGAGCTTTCTATAACTTACAAAAACCATCAGCTCTCTTGTTTTGATGGGCTTAACCCCGAGGTCGTTCCTATTCTTGTCACCTTCTTACTCACATTTTCTTATCCTTACTCCTATTTACCTAAAAACTTTTCACTCTACCATATTTTAGCTTGCGACCTGCACATATCTATTTATACTATTCGCAACCTTCCTTTAACTTGCTAGCACCATAGATTTTCTTTTGTGCCTTCTCAGTTGTATAAGCAATTACATTTCCTAGTCGTTTTGCCACTTGCTACATGGATACTTGGCTTATCTTAGTGCCCAGGAATACTGGAAATACCTATAACTCATATGATCTCAAATATCAATTTTGATTTTTTTCCTTCCCGTTCGTTAGCCACGATAGGTGCCACTTTCCTATGGAGTGCATAAATATTGTAGTGAGACTATTGCTACAAGATCATTTCTTCTTTAGGTCAATATGCTTAGGTTCTAACCTTCTTCCTTATTTACTCGGCTAGTATTCCGTTGTAGTACTTAGGGGACACCCTCTGACTCTTGTAAAGCTGCGAGATTATTACATCGTATACCCGAAAGATCTTTTTTGATGTTCTTACTCGCCCATAATTATCCTTAGTTACTTACCTCTGCACTCTTGTGCTCGTAGGGCTGCTTCTAAACTGAAATTTTTACTATCTCCCCAATGCTCTTTTATTTTCATAACACTTATACGGTACTTTTAATTACCCCAACTTCTATCCGAATATTTCTCAAGGATCACAATGTCATATCCGCGAGACTGAATTCCCTATGTTGGGGTTCACTGCGTGTATCTTGCACGATCTGTTGATTTATATGTATCCTCTTGTCTAGCCATAACTATATTCCGCGTAATCTCTCTTGGGTTATTTCTTTTGTCTTAACTTACCTCTCGCACTGGATCCTTATATATCAAGTGTTCATTTGCACTTATTTATCAATAACATATAGGGCGGGAGCCCTTACTGCCTCTTCCCTGCATCATGCTTGCATAATGTTCTGGAGTCGTAACATATCTGTAGGATCTAAATAAATGCAATCCCATTCCTTTCACCTTTTTACCGTATTCTTCCTTTACTATTCCACAGTTACCTGAACCACATAACTCCAACTTAATACCATATCACACCATCTTCCCCTCTCTCTCCCCCCTCTTTAGGGGAGTACTAACATTTAGTGCTATGAAGATTTACCTGTAAATGTTTTACCTTTTCATTTTTGGCATCCTTTTACATCTTCACTGACTCTTACCCACCTTACAGTAACCCTTTTGTACCAAGGATAACTAAATTTCTTATGCACGAGGGTGACACCTAGTATAATAGGCACACTTAGTCCCTTAAGCTTAACTCTGCTCGCAGGTCTTGCTTTAGAGAAGCGTCTTCTGAATGAACTTTAAAGGTTATTCTTTTCTTGTCCATTCTATTATTTCCAGAACGGTATCTCTAGAATTCTCACGATGCCGACTATTATCAAATCCTTCGGTCCCTAATTCATGTTTAGTTTATCTTGTTCACTAGCCCATCCTAATTTCTATTACTCCGGGGGTCTAACTTTTCCTTCTGGTAATCACGTTTGAGTCACCAACTTATTTCTCGAAATGAGGATATGACTTTATGGCTTATGCTATTTTATTGTTTTAAGGCCTGTCTCATTTTGTCTTTGCCTTCTCTTTACTATAGACTCTGTCATCCTGCCATATTTTGATTTACCATTATTACTTATTTATCACATCTTACTCATAATGCTTCATTTACTCTCTTCTTATTCTCCTGCTAATATTTCTGTCTATCACTTTATTCTGAAAACTTCAATAGAATATTCTTTCCTTTTTAGATCCCCTTTCTCCATTCACTGGCTCTTCGGGTCACCTAACATTCTCTCTTGGCAAGGGATGCGAGCCATACTAAGGTAAATATTTGTGCCTTCTAAGATTCCGGTATCTATCTTCTGAATTTTATGAACGTGCTGGTATTCATATCTAGCTGTACTATTCTGGAGTGCCCTATCTAGGTGTCTCTCAAGGAGAACTATTACCACGTTTGCAATATCCTTCGTAAATGTCTCTGACGCTAGCAATCCATCCACCATTTTGGGTTACTCTAACCCGAACTGGATCTTGATATCCCGTCCTTCTCTTAAATTATATCTGTTAGCTCCCATAGGCCATAACTGAGATGTGTGTGGCCAATTGTATATACCTCTGTTACTATTGAAGGTAACTCAAAATGCTTATATTTCTTTGCCTAAATTATAAATACTGATAATCTAACTGGGCACTCATACCCTTTTTCACATTGCTTCTTTTACTTGCTGAAACTTGTATCTACCTTCTGATTCTCTTATTTCTTTTTACCATATAGGTGGATAGATATTACTACCTTAGGGCTCTTTATCAAGAAGCTTACACGTCTTACTACACACATGATCTGCCGAAGACCTCACATTTATTCATCATAAGCATGATGCAAAATTGAGTTCTTCTGACTCAACTCTTCCACAACCACATTCAATCTCTTGCCAACTGTCTTTCTGGATATAAGTATCATTGTATTACAAATAAAATAGAATTGAGGAGTTTGAATTCTTATGTTTGAGCTCTACCATATGATCTAGAGTAAGAAGAAAAAGATATAATCTTAAATGCCATAAGGGAATACTCGACATAGGATGACCCGACATGGAATACTCGACATAGGACGATCCAACATGGTAAATAGACCAGAAGGACCGTCATGATATAAACATAATAAAACATAAGGGAATACTCAACATAGGATGACCCAACATGGAATACAAACTTATACATGTGACATACGGGCCTATAAGGCCGACAAGATCATTTGTACACTCAAAACATAGGTTGACAAGGTCATACAATCATCCATATACATGACATCTATCTATAAGCCTCTAAGAGTACATAAACGTCATAATGGTTAGGACAGGACCCTACCATACCAATCAATACATGTCAAAGCATACTGACAAAATAAGCAACTCTGGAGCAAGTGGAGTGTGCCAACACCTTTCACTAAGTTGATAGCCTACTAGGAGGACTTTCAGCGTGTCTATCGGGATCTGCGGGCATGAAACACAACATCCCTAGGAAAAAGGTATGTTAGTACGAATAATTTACTGAGTATGTAAGGCATAAAAAGTAATATATAAAAGACTTAAAAGAAACATGGAGTAAAGGACTTAACCTCTAAGTCTAAACAGCTTTGTGAATCATGATAATGTCATGCATATGCATCTAAATGTCATACAATTCATAGGTATTTGCGTACATACATCATCAAGCCTCTGAGGACATCCTATCATTTTAGCCTTAGTGGACGAAATTATCAAAGTATACAAGTTGATCAGGTGGTGGTACGTATATAACGCCGTAACCTTTTCTCATATCCCATACACATATAATATACACGTATATAGCGCTATCTAGTCATGGGTCAATGTACATGTATAAATGAATACAATGCATAAGAAAGTAAGTCAATAAGATCTCTCAGAAAGTAATAAGATCAATATGATTTCGGCTAATATCATGAAATAAAATTTATCAACTTACTTATTTTCTGACACCCATGAACAAACGATATAATAATAGGACACATGGTGAATCAAGAACATAGGCACCCTTAGTACTTCTAAGAATAGATTCATTTGTAAAAATTGCGCGTTGCTCGTTTCATTTGTATCATATGGATCAGCCAAAAGGAAAGAAGGGATATCTTTAATATACCTTTGTCTTTTACTTAACTTCATGGTGTTGGCTCTACCCATTAGTACTTCAATCTACAACAACGAT